TGCCCGACTAATTTTGTATTTTTGGTAGAGACAAGGTTTCTCCATGTTGGTCAGGCTGGTCTCAAACTCCTGACCTCAGGTGATCCGCCTGCCTCTGCCTCCCAAAGTGCTGGGATTATAGGCATGGGCCACCGCACCCGGCCTCCTGTTTGCTTTTTTAAGGTCATTACCAAGACTGTTCCATCTCTCATTTTGTCTACCTCTGTTATTCATACTATGCTACTTCTCTGCTCTGTGTACTTTCTTGTGATTAATGAAATTTTGGCCATTACTTGAGAAGGGTTTAATTTCTATTTGGGATATGAAGATATAGAACAAAGCAGATGGAAGAATGTGGTTCATCAAGCTGCCTTCTCAGATGTTGAAGAAACAGTATTCTGAATTTTGCCAAGATAAGGTCATTGTTGCTTGTTTTAGTAAATTGATATTCAGCAAGTATAAGTTGTACTTTAAAAATACAGCTCGATATTAGGGAATATTTTAGTCTGAATTTTTCATCTTGTATGCTTTGTATACCAAGAGGACCTTTTTATTGCACAGAGATAACTTTTAATTGATATTGGCTTCTAAGAAGTTTCTGTGTAGAGTTTTAAGATGTTATGTGTTTGTAATGAGATATTTTAACAGTTCAATAAATCAGAAGCAAATGTTTCCATTTGTGAATTAAATACAGAAGGAACTTTCTTGTGGCACACACTCAGCATGAGTATATATTCCATGTTTTGGGATTTTTATCTTTCACTGAGTTTAGAATACTATTAAAGCAACAGGCCACCTTAGTTTAATGGAGCTAATTTTCTGCTATCTGGTTCAAAAAGCTTATTGATAAAAGAAAACATTTGTGATTTTGTTGTATTTCATCAAACATTTCAAAGGAAGCTGTAAGAAATTATAGTATGTTAAGAACACCATTGGTTAAAAAAAGGTACATCCTCATAAATTTTTTTGTGGTGTCTTCGATTACCAATAGCTACATAAAATGATCTAAATATTATTCTTTTTTTCTTGGATGTACAGTATAACAAAATGGTAAATTATAATTCTTCAGTTATGTAGTTGAAGGTAGAAGGTTGGTTTCACTGCAGTTTTCTGATGCTCTAATAATTAATAGTGTAGTAGTATGGGAGGCAGAAAAGTAACAGTTTCTTCAATACATCCATTTTATACTGGAGAAGATTCAACCCTTCAACAAATATTTATTGCATGCTACATAGTTCAGGGCATAGTATAGACCTATCTAAAAATACGAAATTTGTCTGCAATTAAAAGCGCATTTGAATTCAGTATGTTAAAGAGTTTTCGTTTTGGCGGGGTGCGGTGGCTCGTGCCTGTAATCCCAGCACTTCAGGAGACCGAAGTGGGCAGATCACCTAAGGCCGGGAGTCCGAGACCAGCTGGGCCAACATGGTGAAACCCTGTCTCTGTTAAATAAAAAATTGGCCAGGCGTGGTGGCGGGTGCCTGTAATCCAGCTACTCAGGAAGCTGAGGCAGGAGAATCGCTTGAACCCAGGAGGTGGAAGTAGAAGTGAGCCGAGATTGCACCACCGTACTCCAGCCTGGGTGATAGAGGGAGACTCAATCTCAAAAAAAAAAAAGAGTTAAGGAGTTTTAGTTTCAACAACTCTATTCCTTTTGATTGATGAGATTTAATAAGATCCATTGAACCTGTGAGGTTTTCTCTACTTTTGTGATTGTCCTAGAGTGGAAGAGGCATGGCACCAAGGTAGTAAAAAGGAGACATCGCCTTGATAAAAGTTTGAGGTAGGGAAACTTGAACTTTTTTTTGTAGAAAAAAGTACCCTATTACAAATTTTTTACATCTTATTAAGTGACTAATTTTTTGAAAGCATGATTTATTTCTGGTACTTCTAAAAAGACAGTGATTTAGAAAGCTGACATTTGTTAGCCTCAAAATTAGTCTTCCATTTTACATTTTAAAAACACTTTAGTGTTGTGCTCTTTTTGAACATTTCGTGTTCACATTTCTGGCTACAGTGTACTCTGAAGGGAACGTGGTTTTATGAGGATTATCTTGGCAGGGATATGGAAGAGAATTAAGATTGTCATCCTTATTCTGGGGCTTGGACGGTATGTTCTTGCTTTGTGCAACTGTGATAATACAAATGCAGTTCTAAGTTGCTATTAGTTATAATACACTATAACAATATTTTACTTCTTAACCTCATTATTTCTGTTTCAAGTCATTGTTCCTTGATTCTCTTTGCACCTTTCTGTGCCTTAATTTTCTCATTTATGAAATGAGGATAATTTGTTGACATATAAAAATATGAATACATTTAAACACTTAGAACAATGCTCAGTATATAATGAATGCTCAAATATTAGCTGCTGTTGTTAATATTACACCTTGTTTTTAAACACTTTAGGTTTCAAGTTTATTTTAAGGCAAGTGCATGCATTTTAGCTCAATCTGGATGTATATCACTTGATAAAATTCAGCCAGTAGGGATTTTTATATTAAATGTTTCTCAATTGCCTGCATGACCAAGAAAAAAGCTCTAGAATTGTGAGTAGTTTATGTCCTCTGAGGAGTCTTATGTATTTGCTGTTTCTAGTCATTAAAGCAGCAGTTATACAAGTGGGTTCCTTATATCTCTTGGAAGTCATAAATAGTACAATGGGCTCTGTGACTGCTGCGACATATTTAAAATGTTAGATGTATGTTGTATATGTGCATTCTTTTCTATAGGATGGTACCAGAGCTTTCACTGGCATCTCAGAGGAATCTGTGGCTCAGAAAAGCTACAGAACCACTATCCTAGTTTTAACCTTAGTTGGTCATGAACCTGCCAAAGTATAAGTGACTAAGCCATTTTATAGGGAGTAAGCTGTTGATTTTACATTGAAATATAAATGAGGTAGGCATTATCTGGAATATTTCTACATTTTCTATCAAGCATAGAACGGTACTTGCTTTTCTAGGCTCTTCATTTCTTTTTATTAGTGCACAGGTCTATAAAATGTAGAGTTTGTAAGGAAGCTTGAAATCACATTTTAGTTCACTATGTTAGGAGTTTTAGTTTTAATAACTTTATTCCTGTTAATGTGATTTTGCTAGTTTTTAAGAGGCCTCCTTTGAGTCTATTTTCCTAATGATTGAATTTGGCACATTTGGGTATCTTTTAGGGAGAGGGAATTAGAGGGGACTAATGATAAGTTATACAGTGTTTTCTCTTTAATTAAAATAATGTGCGTGTCATCAACATTTTATGAACTCAGTTAATGTATTTCTAATTCAGTGTTCCTGTCTGAAAGAATATATTTTATTTTTATAGGCTATTTTGGGTTACCCCTTCTTCCACTTCTGCTTTCCTCTATGAAAGTCAAAATGATCTATTAATATTTCTCTGTTATTTTCATGGAGCTCTCTTATCCATTACCCTTATCTCTGTGGAAATACCTCATGTGTTTGGCCTTGCATTTCCCCGCCTTGGGTCTTCAGTTTAGTATTTTCATCTACTATTTATTGATAACTATAGATAACTTCTATTTTTTCTGCCTTTGGCATCCTCCTTGGCATTCCTACTTTTATTCAAAGTTAGATTTTCTTGTTTTTTTTTTAGAGGCGGTGTCTCACTCTGTTGCCCAGGCTGAACTTCTGGGCCCAAGTGATCCTCCCACCTCAGCCTCCTGAGTAGCTGGGACTACAGGCGTGCACCACCATGTCTGGCTCTTAGATATTATTATTTATAACTGCCAATTCTAGACAAAAATGTTCATTCATCTGTTCAATAGATATTTTTGGTGCTAAGCCCTGTGCTAGAATAAGATTAGCCTCCTGTGCACTGAGGCAACTGGTATGTGAATACAAGTGCTCCAGTGGAGTTATGCACAAAGGGGAAAAAAAGCATGTGTACTTTGCCTGAGGGAACTGGCTTCAGAAGTAGAGATAATATTTGAGCTGGACCTTGAAGTATATGAATAGGACGAAAGATAGTAAAGATAAATCCATTTTTCTAGCCTTCAAGGATCCAATTCTTCACTTGGCATTCTTTTGCCTGTCATCCTCTGTCATAGCTATCTAAAAAATCATTAAATAAAAATTCTTTAAAGCAAAAAACTTGGTTATGGATGTCATAGTCTAGGTTAGAGATGAAAAAAGTTTGAATTGGTGCAATAGGAGTGGAAAAGATGGATCATATTCCAGGGATAATAGAGGTAATTTTTTTTTTTTAAATCTTTTTTGCCATCAGATAAGTCGACCAGAATTAGAGGTTATTTTGACAGCTTTTGGTGATGAATCAGCTGTGAGGGAATTGGAAGGCTGAGAAGCCTAGAATGGTTTCTAGGCTTTTTTGGCTCTAGGCTTTTTTTGGCTTGAGCATCTGGAGGGGTTGTGAAACCATTACTGAGTTAGAAAATATTGAAAGAAATGGGCAGGGTTAGAGCTGATAACCCAGTGACTTTTTTGCTTTCATTTTTCATTGTCTTTGACGCCTTTGTAGGAGTTATTTAATTCAATAAGTTAATATATGTGCCTGCTTTTTTCAGGCCCCCTTTTAGGCTTGGGATACTTTAACCAGCAAAGGCTCGGCCCTTGTGGTGCTTACATTTTACTAAGCGGAGACAACAATAAACATAAGTAAATTATGTTGCTGGCTAGAAGTTGATAAATTTTCTGGGAGTAAAGTGGGAAGTAGGCTCAGGAGTATCAGATTGAGGGTAGGACCTACAATTTAAAACAGTGCAATCGGGGTGGGACCTCATTGAGAAGGTGAGACTTGAACAGTCTTGAAGGAGGCGAAAGGGGTAGC